GCAGGGAGGCTTACTAGAGTAGAGGGGCTGAACTGGACACCTAATTTCTGCCCGAAGAGCACGGATTACAGACCCTAGGTAAATGATCTGTCCTTGTAGGCTAGTGATTTGTTTACAGATTGTGTAAACAAAGTGACAAAAATTAGTGGATCAGAGGAATGCTGTGGACATAATTTACTTGGACTTCAGTAAGGCATTTGATAAAGTAGATCACAACCTACTACTTGACAAGATAGAAAAACGTGGGGTAGACAGAATCACCACCAGATGGATCCGTAGCTGGCTGACCGGCCTACTCAGCGAGTGGTCCTCAATGGAACTGCATCTATATGGAGGGAAGTGTGTAGTGGGGTGCCCCAGGGCTCTGTTCTGGGCCCAGTACTCTTCAACATCTTCATCAACGATTTGGATGAAGGGATAGATGGGGAACTCATCAAATTTGCAGACGACACCAAGCTGGCAGGAATAGCCAACACTCCAGAAGACAGGCTTCAGATACAGAAGGATCTGGACAGACTCGAACACTGGGCACTAACTAACAAAATGAAATTCAATGGTGAAAAAAGCAAGGTTCTACATTTAGGCAAGAAAAACCAAATGCACAAGTACAGCATAGGTGGCACCATGCTCAATAGTAGTAACTGTGAGAGGGACCTCGGAGTCCTAGTAGACAATCACTTAAATATGAGCCAGCAGTGTGCTGCAGCTGCCAAAAAGGCCAACACAGTGCTAGGCTGCATTAACAGAGGGATAGAATCAAGATCACGTGAAGTATTAATGCCACTCTACAATGCCTTGGTACGGCCACACTTGGAATACTGCATCCAGTTTTGGTCACCACGATGTAAAAAGATGTTGAGACTCTAGAAAGAGTACAGAGAAGAGCAACAAAGATGATTAGGGGACTGGAGGCTAAAACATATAAGGAACGGTTGCTGGAATTGGGTATGTCTAGTTTAACAAAGAGAAGGATGAGGGGGGACATGATAGCAGTGTTCCAATATCTCAGGGGCTGCCATAAAGAAGAGGGAATTAAGCTATTTTCCAAAGCACCTGAAGGCAGGACAAGAAGCAATGGGTGGAAACTAATCAAGGAGATAAGCAACCTAGAACTAAGGAGAAACTTCCTGACAGTGAGAACAATTAATCAGTGGAACAGCCTGCCTCCAGAAGCAATAAATGCTCCAACACTGGAAGTTTTTAAGAAGAGACTGGACAGCCATTTGTCCGAAATGGTGTAGGGTTTCCTGCCCAAGCAGGGGGTTGGACTAGATGACCTCCAAGGTCCCTTCCAACTTTACTATTATTATTATTATTATATATAAGAAAAATATCCGACTAGAGTTGAAATTAATTTTAGCCCACAATTTGAAAATATAAAAACAGGAAAATAAATTACAAATCAAAAACACAGAAGCATTTTATGTTGGTGAGCTTTAGTTTGTGCATGTGTGAAATAACAGTTTATTTCTTTTCATCCAATGCTATACTGCCTTATCATGGTGGGTGGGGGGGTGGAAGCAGATGTTTCTAGGAGGGATGAGTGAGAAATGCTAGGGATGTATGCCAAGAGCATACAGCTCAAACAAGGCTATTCCCAGCTACCTAAATAGCAGACAGCATATTAGACAGAAGTGATACAGAAAGATACTGGAGGCAGATACAAAGGTATCATTTCATACTGTGCAGGACAAGACAAAGATAAACTACTTTTGTATTTTCCTGAAAAATTACACCAATAATCAATATAAACTGATTTATATTTATAACATTAGATGAGGGAAGCCTAAGGCTGGATGTCACTCAACACACTATTGAGGAAGAGCTGAAGATCTTTCAGAATGCTAATGGGGTTTCTAAAATGGCTAGATAAAAGCTTTTGGTAAGTCTAGTAGCTGATGTTGCCCTGCAGGAAAATAAAATCCAAAGCTGCAAAGACAGAATTATTGTGGGAACATGTAACATAGGAGACATGAGCATGGAAAAAGTTAACATAAGAAAGATGAAATGAATTGATTACACATTTACATATTTGGTATCAGTGAATTGAAATAGAAATGGAACTGGACCCTTTCAAACAGAAGATCATACTACACAGGACATGAAAAACAAAGAAGGAACAGCATTGTATTCATAATCAGGAAGAAGATAGAAAGGATAGTCCTTGGGCACAATCAAGTCAACAACCAGATAATATCAATTAAACTTTTCAGACAAGCCTTTAATATATCAATTACCCAAGTTTATGCTCTAACCACTGATGCAGAAGAGGAGTTTGCTGGTCAAGTTCAATCTGAATTCAATAGAACATGCAAGCAAAATATATTGTTTTACTGTATAGTTTAGGAAACTGAAATGAGGTTAAAAAAAAGACATCACTTTCTACCAATCCAATTATTTCCTTATTTGTAAGATAGTCTTCCAACAACTAAATGACATCAATATGCATGAACATCACCAGACAGAATAAAACAGAAGTCAAACAGATAATAATATTGGTAGAAGAAGGTGGAAAATCTCATTTGCAGCAGGAAAGACATTGCCAAGGGCTGAGATGTGGAACAGATCACAAACTGTTCATGTGCAAACTCCAAATCAAGCTAAAGCTGCAGAACAAAGCCAACACCCTGGCCAACAAATTGAAAGCTGTCAGTCTTTGTAACAATACCAAAAATGGGAGATTTGACAGAATGTGCAAACTATTGTACAATATCATAATTTCACATACTATGGTAACAGGTTTAAGATTATCTAACACAGATTAAAAACCAAAATATATTATTACCGCTGCATGTTGGGATAATAGAGAAAGCCAAAGAATAGCCCCCCCCAAAAAAACACTATGTGCTTCATTGAATATAGAAAGGGTTTAATTGTGCAACCCTGTCAAGCTGTTGAATGTGCTTATGAAAATGGGAATCCCAGAACATCTCATTATCCTCATGGGAAATTTGTACACAGGCCTGCATGTGATAGGCCAAATGTGGCGAAACAGACTGGCTCTAGGTTGACAAAGGAATAGGAAAAGACTGTATTCTCTAACCTTATGTATTCAACATATACTATATGTAGAATAATGTATAGGGTGTACCAAAAGTCATGACTCATAGGCAATTTATTATATAAATTACATTAAATGTTGAAACTGGTTCTTATTTACTTTTAAACACTTCCTTAATGAACTTTGAACGTCCATGAGTACAGTAACATTTTCCCTGGAAAAAAACATTAATTAATAAAACATATTGTGATTGCTCTAACTTTTAATACATCTTATATATAAAGGAATCTGGATTGGAAGAAAATGATCATGGTTTAGAACTGTAGGAAAAAAACTTCCACTATGATGATGATAGAGATCTGATAGCTGCAAATGAAAATGTGCAAGTTCTTGTGTAATGAAAGTCAAGGAGTAGAGTGAAAGAATGAGATTAAGTTAAAATATAAAGAAGCCAAACTAGTGACAAAAGATGCAGCAACTGGTCTTAGAAGTTAGAACTGACACTTGACAATAACAAAGTGGTGAATAGCTTCTGTCTTTTAGGATTGACTCTCAACAATGAAGGGACCAGTGGTCAAGAACTGCATCACAGACAACAACCTGGCCTCGGAAAATATTCTGATGTGTGAAGATGTACTTATCTCTACAAAGATCTGAATCATGCAGACAATGTTTTTTCCTATGATACTCTATGGAAGGACACATTGCATGTTGGAGGAATACAGAAACAGTATTGATCCTTTTGAACTTTTTTGTTGGAGACTCAGAAGACTTCTGAGATTATCTTGGATAGATAAGAAAATGAACAAATGAAACATAGAACAAATCTATTCAGAGTCCTCACTCAACGTACAAATAGCCAGACTAAAATCATCATATTTTGACATATTATGCGAAGACCTCTGCTGCAAAAGATGGGAAAAAAAAAAGAAAAAGAAAATGACCAACAGCAATAAATGCATCATTGGAAGATTTGAAGGATCAGGGTTAGGACAGAGAATCTTTTTATGCAGAAATTTACATGAAGAAGATCTATACGATAGGAGTAGACACAGACTTTATAGCGCATAACCAGTCAGGATTTCTGGTGTGCTGATTTTGTATGCAATTTGTTTCAGTTTTAAACTATTAATGCAGGATACCCTCTGCAAACCAATTTAGTTAAAGGTATCTTTTGTTCTTTGTACAAAAGATGCTTGATGACATGGTAGAATACAGGAATAAGAGAAGGAAGGGAGGTTCTGTTTGAAAGTAAGTTATCTGATTGTGAAATATTAATTATGTCTACCTCATCAGTAACAAAACAGACTGGACATTAAAGTGCTGAGAAACTGAAAATGCACAATCTACCCATTTAAAAGACTATCCGCCTGTGGAATAATGGTTTATATCCATCTTCTTCAAGAGAGTTCCTCCCCTCTAGGACTCTTGTTTTTAAATCAGTATTAAGAAAGCAGAATCTAGAGATAAGGAGCCAGCTTTTATAAGTAAATAAAGTGGCTTAATAAATGTGGTGTCAAAATTACTTTCCTTGATTGCTTCAAGGGATAGAAGGAGAACTATGTAGACTGAGTGATTCTTGATTAACAGTCTGTACATAGAACAGGAAATTCTTTTTAGCTTGTGAGATAGGCAAAATTAATCTTGGCAAATAAGGGCTCAATATAGCTTGCCTGAAGAAATTCTTCTCATTTTGGCTTTTACAATTCATACAAGTCCAACCCACTCATTTAATTGTCTGCTTTTGTCACTGTTAGCATTTTAGACTATGACAAAAACCCTTATCTATTTTGCATTATTCTTTGTATGGAAGAAACAGCATGGAATCTACTTCTCTGCTAATCTTTTTAGATACTATGTAAGAAGATAAATTGATTATAAATCCAGGATGACCCTGTGAGCAAATCTGAAGTTGCAGATAATACAGGTCCCAACGGAGTAAATGAGAAGCAGTTACAGGGATGTTCACAGCAGAAATTCCTGACAATCTTTGACATACCTGTATTCGAGTGAGAACTTGGTTAACTCTCTGTTGTCATGTAGCCATTTGAATTCCAAAGGCCAACTCCCTTCTGCCATGCAGGTGAGCACCAAACGATTTCCCTCTAGATGAACTTGAGTGCGCACTGGCTCTGTCTTGAAATATGGGGAAACATCATCTGAAACGATAAAGAAAAATGTGTTAAACCTGTGCATTCTTCACCACATATAAGATCCTCAATATTGGATCAGACAAGTAGCCTGTCCATCTAATATGTCGGTCTATGAATGAAAAGATACGTGCCAATTCTGAAAATGTCGGTCCTTTGTTATGTGTAAATATCTTTTCTGAAACATGTTTTACTACAGTGAGAAATCTGGAAATTGCGATGATGTATCTCTGGACCAGCCTGTTTAAAAACATACATCACTTTCAAATAGTTATACATTAATTGTAAATATGCTGCTGTCCTAAGGACACCACCATTTGATTTCAGAGACCTATTTAGTGTAACATTTATGTAAAGTGTCACCTTTAAAGCTGTATATGACACAGGGCCAGTTTAATTATGGGATTGCTTCTCTCTGAGGGTATTTTCTTGTCACAGCATGTTGGATAGGTTGGAGAATGCACTCCAGATCCTTTCCCTCAAATGTGTCATTTAGTTGGATATAGGAAGCACACCTTTTCCATAAAAGCTCCTGCTCACTGGAATATTCTTCCCCCTGGAATTCAGAAGGCCCCCACACTTTTTGACTCCTGGAAGATGATAAAAAGCTGTCTCTTCCTCTAAGCGTGGGGATAGGGTGAAGTTGAAGTCTTGGGGTTACACTTGATGTTGTAGGAGTGCAATGTCTCACGAGATTAGAATGCTGGACTGACAATCGGCAGCCTCGCTTTTGAGTCCTGTTGCTGCTGTGGGGCAGGGTGAGCTCCCGTCACACACTCCAGCTCCCATCAATGCAGCGATTTGAAAGTGGAAGATCATAAGTAGATAAAATGGGTACCACTTCAGTGGGCAACTTCGCAGGGGCACAAAAGGAGCCCCCAACTGGGCATTCCCTCGGCAATGGTGATGTCACTGGCAAATCTTTTCACCACAGAAGCACTTTGGTGCTTCCAACATGGAGGTATTAATATTACTTGATGTATTGGAGAGTGTTGGTTGATGCATCAAGTTCTGGTTGTAATGGTTTTTATTATTATTATTGTTGTGAGCCATACAGAGTTGTGACATACAGATAGTCTTTGCTTAATGACGTTTGAAGTTACAATGGGCTGAAAAACAACTTTATGACCAGTCCTCCCATTTGTGACTGTTATAGTGCTCATCTGACTGAAATTTGGGCATTTCACAGCTGCTGGGCATTTATGTCTGTGACAATATCCCAGTCACATCATTGCCGTTTGCATGCTTTAAGGCTGGCTTCTGACATGCAGAGTCAATGGAGAAGCTGGCAATGAAATTGCAAGCCCTAGTCATGTTGTAACATGCTTAATGTCCACAGATGAATCATTTCATGACCACAGCAGAAGTGATGTCATAGGTCCGGGATAGTAACATGTTTTTTTTTTTTGCTTAATGGTTGTGTCGCTTAACAACAGAGTTGCTAGCCCCAATTAAAGTAATTAAGCAAGGACTATCTGTATATGATAGTCATAAAAATAAATGCAATGCAATGCAATGCAACAATAAAATATAAAGCATTTGCTGCCACTAAACACCACCATCATATTCATACCAAAAGGTTTTCAGGATTAAAAGGAGATATTATAGGGCTTTCAATGGATGAATCACCTAACATGGCTAGATTTGAACAAGACGTCACCATACATGTTGTTCACCATTTACCAATAAGATTTTTGCTAGTTTTAAAACTGGTAACAAGTAATTGTGTGTCTCTCTCTGTGTGTGTCTAAGGGAAGTTAGCCCAGAGAAGGAAATATTAAAAGGGCAGGAAAATATATTTTTCACCAAAAGGATTTTTAAAAGGATTTTTTTTTTAAAAAAAAAGCTGAAACCAAACCTGACCCCAAATCTATCTCTCTGCCCCAAGCAGTAGCCAGCCCTATACAAATGCAAATGTAAAACCATCAGAAAGTTGGAGCCAGAGAACTCAAGAAGATAAAGAAAAAATCTGCATACCCCACCCAAATTCTAGGAGTCATTAGCCCAGCCCCAGGGAAGCAGGATATGACTTTTGGGACATAATAGGACTAACCCATTACCATCAAGTATACCAGAGAGGCACGCCTAGGCTCAGGTCAGAATACATGACATAGGTAATAGCCTCAAAGTTCATGCCACAGGAACAGGAAACTTCCAAACAAAACTCTAGAGAGGGTATAAAAAATCCCTTGCCCATGTGCTCAGCCCTTCTCTCCTTTGCTCTTTCTGCTTCTTCAATAAACTATATCCATCTTCCCAAAGCAGTCACCATGTTGCTTATTTATTCCCAGCTTGGATGAACCAGGATGAAGACTTACTTCTAACATGTCCTTATAGGCTAGTAGCACACACACATACACAAACATGCCCAAAGATTGGTATTGGCTGTGAGAAATGGAGGTTACTGCTTTCCCTCTATTTTCTTGATGAAAATTATCCCACCCCTGAAGCTGTTCTTTGCTCTACAGAGTAAAATATATAGGAGCCAGTAGGATACCTGAATGTTTTGCCTTGAGGGAGAAATAACAGCTTTTGGGATAAGGTTATTTTAATTGTAAAAACAGTATGGGAGAAAGGGTTATGCTGTTCTCCTGGGCGACAGATCCAGTCTGAATTCGGGAAGGGGGCTGTGTCTGCTATTAACATTGAAAAACACATACAGAGACGTTCTCCCAGAGAGAGGGATGTCGTGTACTTTCTCACAGATGATTCCAGGCAAAAATCATGGGAGAGCCAGAAGGAAAGAAGTAGATTATAATGGGATGAGCTTTATTTTACAATCTTCTGGGGGGGGGGAGGAAGATATTTTTTAAAAAAAAATAATCTCTATTTTGTATTAATGCCCCGACACTTTTACTCTCTAGGTATCTCCATGTATTGTCACCAATAATGGGAAAATATATTTAAGTGAAGATTATAGATTTGTCTTCTAGGTCCATTCAGAATTGGACTCAAATCATGTTGAGACAATAGGCAAGGTAACATGTGGTTTTGCTGTGAGGCAAGTCATTCAGATTTTCTGTTATTTGTTTCTACTTGTTTTAATCTTCTGTAAGCCTCTGAGAGATATTGGTGAGTGGATAGCCCTAGAAATTGCACACAGATGAGCAAGGTCAAGGAAGCAAGACAAAAAAACAAATAATAATAATAATAAAAACACCATTGGCATTGACAAATTCACCATTAATCAATTGCAAAAGGCAGCCTTACTGGGAACTGCTTCCATCCTGCGATGATATCTGTAATACCATCAAACATCTGCCTATCCCAGGTCCTTGGTAAGGACTCGATAGGTAGACAAAATGCCAAATCCAGTCTGAACATCTGGCTGACTGTCCAATGATCCATAATAATAATAATTTATAATAATAATAATACCAATAGTCATAGGCGCCTTGGGTGCAATCCCAAAACAACTGGAGCACCACTTGAACACCATTGGCATTGACAAATTCGCTATTAGTCAATTGCAAAAGGCAGCCTTACTAGGAACTGCTTCCATCCTGCGACGATATCTGTAATACCATCAAACATCCACATCTGCCTATCCCACGCCTTGGGTAAGGACTCGATAGGTAGACAAAATGCCAAATCCAGTCTGAACATCTGGCTGACTGTGATGATCCATAATAATAATAATAATGATGATGATGATGATGATGTTGGAAGGGACCTTGGAGGTGATTTAGTCCAACCCCCTGTTGAGGCAGGAAACCCTATACCATTTCAGACAAATTATATAGACAAGAATTATATAGATTTCAATAAGACATCTTTAATAATAGTATTTCAGTAAATACAGATAGCCTTCAACTTATAACCTCAGTTGGGACCAGAATTTCCAAGACTGTCTGTATTTACCCTGAAGAAACTACAGAGTAACACATGTCTACACAAGCTGTCTAGACCACTTCAAATTGCAGATAACCAAAGCAAACATCCACTGAGCCTTTACCAAAGTTTTTTTTTATATATATATATAGTTGTTTCTTCCTAATTACTGGCTTTCTTGAAAACTGTAATGAGAAACGTCTAGTGCTTAAATTCTACTAGGCTTAATGATTGCTAATGTGAACTCAGATGTTAAAGGCCTAATCTATTTGCATTGGCGGCAGTTAACAGCTATTCCTATAAAAGTATAGTACATCAGCTTAGTTCAATGATTACCATGTAGAAAATCTACTTCATTTGATGAAAAGAGAGGTGCAACATGATGCATTGTGCATTTGCTAAGATATGAAATTGAATGATTCCATATTTTCAAACCAAAGCTGAAGATAAATGTTTTGCCATGAAAACTACCACTCTTTTATTCTGGCAACATTGGCAAGATAAACAGCAGTAAATTAGACTATTTTCATCAAGTAATTAACAAGGGGAAAAACATTCTTGTGTGCTTTTTTAACAAGGTTGGTCACTTAATAATTTGACTTCAATTGACTTTTTTATTTAGAACACCACTCAAGCTTTGGAAATAAAAATAGTGCTAGGTTTCCATTTATATCTATCTAAGTAAAAAATCTGTGCATTTTACTTAAACTTGCATAGATCTGAGAAACAGGCTTTATTTGTTGAAAACTGTAAAATTTCTCTTCCATCTTTGTCTCTAACTTTTAAAAGTAATCTGATAGGAGCAGCCCTAGCAAAGACTAATTAAATCAATTTGTAATCCCCTTTTAGAAACTGATGGCAAGTCTAAACTGCTGATACTATCTGCACAATCCTATCTAATTCTCTGTGATTCTATGGACCAGTGCTCTGCACATTTTCCAATCTTGTATAGCTCCTTTCAGTTGTTTTGTGTTCTGGCTGGTGTTGGCTTTGATGGTGTCTAGCCACTGTGGTTTTTTGGCAGCCTCGTTTCCTTTTACCGCTTACCACTCCAAACATAAATACCTTTTCCAGGGAGCTGGATGTGTGACATGGCCAAAATAAGTAAGGTAGAATTTTGTGATTTTTGCCTTTTTGTGATATGTCTGGTTTTATATGCTTCACTACTTGTTTGCCTG